CAAAAACTTTTGACTGGTAGTGTATAGTCAACTTACATTTACATTTAGTCATTTAGCAGACGCTTTTATCCAAAGAGACTTACAAATGAAGACAATAAAACTTTATATACTTATATACTTTATATACTACAAACACTTTTTTTTTTTTATCACATAATAAGGCAGAATAGTTTCAATACTGTAATAAATGCTATGTCAGCTAGCACTGCATTTTTCATATACTTTATTTATTACCTGGAGATGACTTGACAAACACAAATAAACCATATTGTCGATATCGTTTGTTTAAAGTCTTCATGTTTCTGTTTTTCTGAAAACAACTGTTTTCATACAGCGATAGCTGGATGCTTTTGTCCATATTAGGAATTTCCTCATATGACTTTCGGCGCCCTCTCCGGCTTAGAGTATGAATTAAACATACTCTGCACGAAGTGTTTAGCGCTCCGCGATGTTCATGTCGCCTTATTCTGGGTCCGAATAAAACATCAGATCATGCACAGACTATCCTGTCTCTTTGAATTTAAATCTATATTTATTCACACCAGCTCCTGAAAACCTCTATGTGAACACGCTTTCCAGAAAAAATGTGGGGGACGATTTTACGTGATATTAAAAGTGGGGGGGGGGACACGTCCCCTGCGTAATCTACGCCCCTGCATCAGCCATTTCAACAGAGGAATGAAGGCTGTGATGTTAACGTTGCCCACTAGAGGGAGCCATAGGATAAGGAATCGTTTAAGCGTAATGTTATTACATTGGTTTCTATCCCTTTGAATGGCAATAAATGCATTGATTGATCCAATTTATTTGTGTAACTATTGTGTACTGACAGTATAGTTTTATATAATTAATTTACTTTTTGGGAAATGTGAATTGCTAATATGTGATGGTGAAAAAATATATATCAATATAATCATTTGTGGTTCAGCTGCTAGAGCAGACTGAAATATTCAAGGCTATTTTTTAAATATCAAATAGTTTAATGTTAATATTTTATTGCCATAATTTATGCATTTTAAATGACTGTTGTTGCTAGCTGCTTAGGCGGCTGTGATGAGATGCGTTAACTTGCCTGTGATTTTAGGCAATATAGAAATCCTGGCCAGGACGCGTCCTGGGAAAATGGCATGTATGGTCACCCTATGTTACACCAAATACACAAAATAATGATCTTTAAAATAGCATCATATGACCCCTTTAAGTTTTCTATTTATTTATTTATTTATTTTTTAATTTTGTAATGTTTTATTTAAGAGGCAATAATTTCAATAAATAGTAATAATTAATAGCAAGTAGGCTATTGCTTTGAAAATAACAATCAAATCCATCACTTGGATTAAATGGATTCCTCCCTTCTGTTCCTTCTAATCACATCCTGTGCAAATTTCTGTACACTGTAATATTTTCTTCCACTATTATGCATGTCCCACCTGACCTGCCATTTTTTTCATCATTTCATTTTTGATCATTGCCGTAACTTATTTTCCAATGGGAACGTTTATAACATCCAGGATGTTTCCCACCAGCACTGCACATTATGTCTCCCTCATCAACAGACCTGATTCAGCTCATTAGAGACTGCAAGACCTGAAGTGGGTGTATGTCAGATAAGGGAGAGATCCGAAATGTGCAGACCCCAAAACATAAAATGGGAACATGGTTGGGAACCCCTGCTGCACTACAGCAGTGGGTGGAAGAAATAACCAAAAAGATCATAATTTGTATAGACAATGGGTCTCCAACCCAGCTCCTGGAGAGCTACTGTCCTACAGATGTCAGTTCCAACCCTGCTCCAACACACCTGTCTGTAATTATCCAGCAACCCTAAACAACCTTGATTAACTGCTTCAACACCTAATTCAAATATTAATACAATTTGGAGTCAATTATCTACTTCAGGTTATGTTTGGCTCAGAGCTGTCTAGAATTTTATATTAATTACAGTTTTATTTAAAACAAACCTTTTCTTTTTCTGTAATGCAACCTCTTGAGTTAGTAAAAGGATAGGCTATATATGAATGTGCCAAGGAGACCAAAGGAAAGTTAGATATAGACATGAAAGTAAATTAAGACTGAGATGAAGTTAATAAAACAATGTGAAATGTACTTGGCAGAAACAATGGGAGGAAGAAAGAACAGGAAGATGGCTTTATAACATCCAAATAAATGCTGGTAAAGGTAGAGTAACTAGGAGAAATAGAAAGGAAGATTCAATTATTTCTAGACCACAATAAAATAAGGTTTAAATGAGTATAGCTGAATACAAAACTATTGATTCAAAATCAAACATAATAAATATAACATGATTTGAATGAGAAACTGTTTTGTTTTTTAGTTTTGACTCCTTGTGCCACAATTCTATTGTGTTTTGGTTTTATTTTGTGTTCAATGTCATGATATAGCATATTATTTTTTACTTTGCTTGAGTTTGATCATTTCTGATTATTACTAAAAAGAAATGGGCAAGAAGACTTTACTTTTATAACTTACCTTTTGTCATTCGCAAGATTCTTCTTCACCTGAATACCTGTATCTAAGATCTGGTCTCCAGCCTAATTTTATTATTTTTATATATTAATAATTTTATATTTCCCACTCCATGAGAACCTACAACTCCAATAGCTTATGTATTGCATTTGAGTATGCAGGTGCTACACATTGGATCACAATATAAACTTGTATTCTGAATTTTATTCTTAAAGGTATTATGAAATTTTATTATGCTTTTTATAGAAAATAATAGAAAAAGCTATTATGCTTTTTCACTTTTTTAATTTTAGTCAGTGTGTAGTGTATGTTTGGGCATAAAAAAGATCTAGAAAGTTACAAATCTCAAAGTCCACTCCAAAGGGAGATATTTTGTTTTTCAAAAATCCCTTTTCAAGAACTACAGCGAACGGCTCGTTTGGACTCCAGCGCTTGTTTTCCGGGCTTTGTGATATCACAAAGTGGCTCATTGGCATGTCATTACAAAGAATTCTCGCCTACAGAAATTCGAATGGTTGGGGGGTGGGGAGGGGCGAGGTTGTGGTTAGAACGCTTGGTTGAGTGAGCACATCAGACGAGACGACGAAGAAGAAGTGCTGCTGCAGAGTTAGTGCATCAGAGAAAACTAAGAAGAAGAGCTGCTGTGCTGTAGCGTCAAATTTTCGGCATGTCTAGAACAATTCTTACAAGTATAACACGACGTAGCTGGGCGCCGCGGACAGATGCCGATCGGCGCCGCCGGTGTGCCTACACATATTTTAAAGATGCTGCGTTTCTCATCCGGTGCGCGACCACCTGAAACGCAGTGTTTTTCACCTCTGTGCCCAAATGTCTTTGTTTGGGCTTCCAAAAGCAGATGATGTCAGGAAACAGTGCTTGCAATTTATTTTTTAACTCCGTTCCTGAGCATTATAACCACAATTTGCTATTGTGTGCTGCGCATTTTACTGGGGACAGCGTCCACAACATGACCGTACAGTGCCGGATTCGCCAAAAGCTTTTGTTGAAAGACGGAGCAAGGGGTGTGGCAGAACTGAAACACCGTCTAAGCTGTTCACCAATCACAACGCACTGGGACAGCTAACCAATCACAACACATTTTGTTTTTCGGAAGGCGGACCTTCATCAAAGCCGGAACTAATCGAGCCATTTGTGCCAGTCTGGGGAGAGAGGTATTTTAATAAATTATGTTTTATTAACAAGGTTCGGGAGGAGCACGATCAAATAATCAATCAGTCTGGCCCAGGTGTAGCTCGTCAGCTAATCACCTTAACAAGCACATACACGTGTATATATACAGCCAACTTTCCTCAGTTCCACGAAAGATTTCCAGCATTCAGTTTTGCTCCTCTAGCCATTCTGTCACAGACTCAACTTTTTCCGTATGACGACGAGACTTGAGATCTTTCGTATCCTCCGTCGCAATCTGCCGGCCCTAGGCTCACTCCTTTTCCGCCAGTCACCGCCGCTGAGCTCCATTGCGGCCGTTGCTCTGCTCGACCAGCCACACGCTCTCCACAACACCGAGGCTTAACCTCACCCAACTTCCCCGACATCCTCGTATCATTCGGCCATGCTAATACAGTGGTGTGAAAAAGCATTGGCCCCCTTCCTGATTTCATATTTTTTTGCATGTTTGTCACACTTTAATGTTTCAACCTCTGAATAGCTCAAGAAAACTAAATTAAGGTTTTGGAGTGGCCAAATCAAAGTCTGGACTTGAGATGCTTAAACAGTCCATTCATGCTCGAAATCCCTCCAATGTGGCTGAATTAAAACAATTCTGCAAAGAAGAGTGGGCCAAAATTCCTCCACAGCGATATGAAAGACTCATTGCCAGTTATCGCAAACACTTGATTGCAGTTGTTGCTGCAAAGCGTGGCACAACCAGTTATTAGATTTAGGTGGCAATTACTTTTTCACGTAGGGGCAGGCAGGTTTGGACAGCTTTTTTCCCTTAATAAAATAAATAATCATTTAAAAACTGCATTTTGTATTTACTTGCATTATCTTTGTGTAATATTAAAATTTGTTTGATGATCTGAATCTTTTAAGTGTGACAAATATGCAAAAAATTTAAAAAACAGGAAGGGGGCCAACACTTTTTCACACCACTGTAGATAGATAGATATATAACAAGATTAATCAGTTAAATGCTATAAGAGGTTAAACTGTAAGTTACCTTTATGGTTAACATGTGATAAAGGTCTGCTAAGTTCACGTTATGAATAAGACTTATTCTGGTATCACCATTGTAACAGCTTCCGTTACACACAGCTTTCAGTTCAATGCAGTCTGTGGGCTAGTTAATACAAATATTAGTGTGAATGGCTCTCATTCATTTCCAAGCTTAATTTTAAACATACCTGTCCTGCTACAGAAGAAATATTGGCTATTTTTATGTAACTCCTAGTACAGTTCCATTAATAGCTCTTTAAGGGCACAATAGTGCTACTGGTTCCCAAATCCAGAAAAGGGCAATTGTTTTCAAATTTAAATAAGATCAATGATCTCAGGATACCTATACTGCATCTAAATCCATTACTTTAGTTACAAAAAAATCAGTGTTCTATCAGGTGACTTATTGAATGCAAACATATCAGCAGGCATTTAGCCATTTTATTCAATGTTATGAAAAATCAACTATAATATGGGTTTATATTATTTTCATGCTATATTATTTTCAGACCAATTCAAACAGGGAAAGCATAATATAGCATTGGCTGGAAGGACAGTTCAACATCAAAGACTGAAACATCTAATTTCAGTCAGAGGTCCGTTCGTTTTTTAGGACCTTCTCTTTTAACAAATCCAGTATAACCTGCCTTTCCTGACTCTCCAGCTCAAACCGACGTTCCCGTTCTTTTCTTTCTGCCCCGAGACGCTCCCGATCCAGGGCAATTTTACTCCTCTGGATTTCTAGCTCCTCTCTTCTCAGTGCCATTTCCTCCTCTCGCAGACTCTGCTCTGCTTCAAATCGCTTTTCTAGGAAGCTTAGGATCTCTGAGTAGGTCTGGCAGCAGCACTGACATGGCCGTTTGGCTGTGGGAGCTGTGAGCTCAGCCTCCTCCTGCTCCTCAGGTTCCGGGCTGGCTACCACTGATAAAAATTGCACAAATGTAAGAGTATGTAAAAGACAATATTTATGTATCTTTAGTATGTTTATGTAAGAGACAATAAAATCTTAAGATCTACAATCATGGATTGTTGTTTAATGATCTATGAGATGTGTTTATAATCATTTCTAAACTAAACAACTCCTTACCAGTGGGGGGAGCTGTTGTTACTGACAGCACAGTGGATTTGTCAGGCTCAGGCGATGATAATTCCTCCAGTGCTCTCTTCCTGAGTTCGTCATCTTGGTATTTACTTTCCCCACTGGCCAGAAGATTCTTCTCTGCCTCCAACTCCAGAACTTCGTGCAACAGGTCTTCTTTTTGTGCATACAGGCGTTCCGTACCAAACCTGAACACCAACAACTCAGATCTAATAGCTTTTGTATATACACAAAAAGCTACTATAATGAACACTGTAACATTTTTCTTAACATTTTTTAAAAGCATTTTTCTGTGCACATTTAATTGACTAGTGTCAAGTCATACTGTTGACCTCTTTTAATGAAGGAACCTTGAAATACAATTAATCACAACATTTATAACCATTTCATGATTAAAAATGCACTAAATAATATTCATTGTTTCACAGTTTGAAACATGAGTGTTTTAGACTTACTGACACTTGCAACATCAAGCAAAAGCAAATGTTTTCAGTTACAGATACAATTTTAGAAATATTCTGTTTAACACTCATGTTGTTCTACATACAAATTGTGTTACCAAGATAAAGTGTGTAGTATTTAATTAATCTTCACATGTGATTAAATACTCATATTTAAGAGTAAAGTACTGTTCATTTATTTACTTCAATTCACTTATGTATTTATTTATTTATTTACACTTTATTTACCTCAATTCACTAATTTCAACTGGAAAAGGTACTTAGTGCACATTCAAGGCAGCTAAAAAAGGGAAGTTGACCTCTTCTAACCTGCGTAGACTTGCAAAGTCCTGTTTTTTATAATAATCCAGCAGTAGCATGGTTCTCTCCCTGCATCTGCGTCCATCCACCTCAAAGTTCTCATCCTGTAGGGTCGCAGTAATAATTTCACCCACCCTTGCCCAGATCCGGCCTGACTCTTTAGAAGTGAAGGGGTTCTGTGCTATCACCTCACGGAGGAGCAGGATGTCATGACGTGCTGAAAATCGCACCTGACGTTTACGAGGATTAGAAGAAGGTCCAGCAAGAGAGAAACCTGCACAAAGACAGAAAGATGTGAGAGACTGAGAGAAAAATTTGGGCAGTGGATTTTCAAACATTTATGCATATGTTTATCTGTAAATATTCTTTCATATACTGTAGCAGCATTAATATGCCTTTAGATTGACCAATTTCCACATGCATCAGTAATAGTTTATTACAGTTATTATTTTAATTATTTAAAGTGTATGCAAGTATACACGTGTCTCTTTCACGCCCCCCCAGTCCAGTAGTAGCCTATGCCACACACCTTGATCAGGGTAATGTGTTGTATTGTTTATTCAAAGAGTTATTCTTTACTTTTCTGAGTTAGGGCCATTATTTTGACTTGTATGTTACATTTATAAAGACAAATACACCGTTTTTTCTGTAACAGAGCGTCATCATGGTGCTTTATTAACTACTGACACACTCCCAACTGGGCAGCGCAGGCTTTTACAGCGCGTTGACTGTATGATGTCGCTTAGCATTGCAGTGCAATGCAAAAGTACCTATGCACTACAGAGACTCTGAAAAAAAAAACAGATTTTAATGATATTAGATTCAAGAACACAATCAGTGCGTTTTATTCTATTCAAATGTTGAATAGAATAGATACTATAGATTCTACATTCAGAATATAATCAATAGATTCCATTCTATTCAAACGTTGCTGTTTTTCGGCAGGTCTTACCGCGTTCCATGTTTTCCCGTCAGTGTATGTGTGTCAGCTGATACGCACAAACTGCTGAGGTCACTGTACACGTCCGCTCACCAGTACAGGTTCCATTCTGACGTGTACCTCAACTTCTCGGGAAATCTGGCATAACTGGGAGTGAAGGGATTGCAGGTGCTCCTTTCATCCTCAAGAGGGCAGAAGATGGTCAAATCAAGCGATGATTTTAGCTTAAAACCGGGCGCTGGTCTTTTTATCACCACATCTAAAACAGACACGTTGTCAACTCATATGGAAAGTTGAAATTATTTATTTATTTATTATTAATTATTTATTTAATTTTCAGTAAAGATGACACCATCTCACTGACCAGTAAACAATTCTCAAGTGGGTTTAGTTTATCCTGAATATGAAAATGCCTATACAGTCCTATATACATTCCTTTAAAAAAAAAAACTTGATTTTAAAGCTGCCGTGTGTAATTGATTCTCCACCAGCGCCACCAGACAAAACTGCAATCTGTTGAAGCAGGCTTACTGGTGGACATGGCTCAGTCGCTGGAGTGACAGGAATACCTACCTGTCTGTCCAAACAGTAATGAGGGGCTTCCCTCTCAGAAAAAGTACAAAGAGTACAAATCTGCCACTGGGCAATGCTTATTTAACCCTAAAGAGTATGTGTACCTTCACATTACCTTTTTAAAGTTCCATTGACAGCTTTTGTGCTTTTCTGTTTTCTGGCAGTGGTGGAATAATTGAAATTTGTTTCAAAATATTAAAGGTGTTGTAAGTGATTTCAGCCATATTATTAAGCACACACCCTCTTTCCAAAAAAAACCCTCTCTCTGAAGTAAAATGTTTGTAAAATTATTGACAGGTCTTAGGATGTTTGTGATAGACTAAATTTCTGAATGTCTTTAATTAAGGCTTTTAAAAGGGATTTTGCTGGTGGGGAGTTATTTAATAGACTTGGATATATTGCAAAGGATGCAGATGGACCTAAGTGAGAATGAAAAGTTTGAAATAGGCGAGCAGTTATTTTCAGAATCATGCTAGGCTAAATTAAATTTTTTTTTTATTATGTACGACATTATAGAAGTAATCACAGTAAACCTGTATATTATTACTGTATTTTACACTTAAACGTCTTAGCTACTAAAGAAGTAATGTGTTGAAGGAACAGACTGAGCAGTGATGCCACAGGACTGCAATGTGATGGAGCATCACTTAACCATTTCTGCTGCGTTTTTCTCCTTCGCTATCTTGCTTTCAGAACAAGAACCACCCGAAAACTCCCTGTAAAGAGACATCAACCTCACAATGAGTCTCTTCACTGGTTTTGGCAAGTCTTTCCCTGCTCTTTGTGTCTTTGTGAAAAAGTGCCAGTTCCCCATAGTATGATTACATCACATTTTGTTGGTGTAATCTATAGATTGCTCCTGCTGATGCAGCCTCTTATGAAGACTTCAGATGACCCAATGTAACAGGGAAAATAAATTTGTAATGAATTACGTGCCAAAATGTTTGTTCATCTTGCAAAATAATTCTAAGATATTAATTGAATAGAATGTATTAAGTGCATCTAAAAGTTAGGGATATGGGGACACCTACAGGTGACTAAGGTAACCTATCAGTGAAGTCAGTTAAAGGTGGAACACAGAAACCTTCTTTTGTGTGTAAATTTCCTCCCTTTGAGTGACATTGTGGGAAAAAATTATGACAAAAGTATCTTTTCTGTAAATGATGACGTTTCTGATAACTGTTCTGTATCCTCTGATGACTGTACCTGATGGTGAAGGTCTAGTAGTGGCTGACAATGATCCGCAGATGGTTGAGTCATGTAATGCTCACGACTCAGCTGCAGTTGTTGATGTTCCATCACAAAGTGTGGTCTCTGGAAATGTCTCTCCAGATCACCCGGTCTGTCAGGGAAGTCCTGAAGAAAGTAATGTCTGTAATTCTGACCCTGATGTTGATGGTACAGTTAATGGTACTGAGTTACCGGGTCAAAGGTCAAAGTTTGGCAGATTGTTGAAACCAGTGAATCGCCTTATTTCTTCTATGAATCAACACACTTTGTTTCAAAACAGAAAGCAAACTCTGGGTAAATTGTCTATTTCAGTCCTTAGTCTGAAGTATTGAAGTATTAAATTCAGTGTATGATGTCAATATATGTGTGTAGGAATTGCTAAGATGAAATGTAAAAGGCACTTCATTTGGGTCATGATTAAGGAGGAGTGATATGCGCAGCACTTCTTCCTGTCAGTTCTTTATATGAACAGTTGTTACTGATCAAAAGCATTATGCTAAGAATGGCAATTCCAGTTTGTGTTTTCAGAAGGAAAAGAAAAAAAAGTTTTGTTTGTGTTTTGGTTTTTATGTTTACCACATTTTGGCAAATTCAGTGGGGGAGAAAGTAACAGGGAAAATAAATGTGTAATGAATTGTGCCAAAATGTTTGTTCATCTTGCAAAATAATTCTAAGATATTAATTGAATAGAACGTATTAAGTGCATCTAAAAGAAAGGGATATGGGGACACCTACAGGTGACTAAGGTAACCTATCAGTGGAGTTGGCCATTTTCCAAGAGGGTCTGGCTACAGCCTTGCACATGCACTCTCAGACTTGCATTCTCAGACTTGCACTCTCAGACACTTGCGCTTCCGCTAGCGACATCACTTGCAGTCTTTATTTTTTATTTTGTTCTATTTTTTATTTTTGTTTGAATCTCTCAACATTTTACAACAGTAGCCAGGTGGTGAAGACAAGAAGAAAGTAACTAAATTACAATGTCACTTGCAATCGCCACTTGCACTCTCCGCTACCTGCGACGTCACTTGCAATCGACACAAATCGTGCATGTTGCCAATGGAGACAAGACGCTGTGGTGCTTAAACGATTAAAACTAATTTAGTACTATAACATACCTCCTGTAGAAAAACATAAACACTTAACATGGCTTAATGTATTAAGATGCTATTAAAATATCATATTAAATATACAATTTATTAATATAATGAATTTGTATATAGTATTTTCCTTCCATACCTCAAAACGTGGCATAATGTGGCATAATGGACTAAAAAGGCCAAACTCAATATGCTCCTCTACATTATTAATATACATAACTAATATGTACAGGCAAGCAGGTGAGCCCAGAATAAATGCAACACGCACAGTTTCTCTTTTATATCATTGTCTTTGTCCATTAAGCTACATTATGTGTTTTATTTATAATGATTTTCTATAGGAGGAAAATGTTTAACGTGCAATTTAACGCATTGCGTTATGGGCTCGTCTGCTTGCCTGTATGGAGTTGATCCTTTTAAAATCACTTAATGCATTTAAAAAATGCACATTCATATTTGTTGGTCTGTATATACTTTGAGTCAACAACATGTCATATAGGCTACTGAATTGTCTTTATCATCTTAGTCCGTTATTATGCCACATTAAGCGTTTTGCTGTATGGGAGGACAAGTGAAAGTTTGCGCATTGTGTTCATAGCCATCTGTTTGTCTTGTAGTACATTAAATAATAACTATATATCGAATTTTATCTTTTAATTGAACTTAATGTATCTTAATACATTATGCCATATTAAGTGTTTATGTTTTTACAGGAGGAAAATGCTTAACGAGAGACTTTGTGCATTGCGTTCATATTCTGCTGTTCTGTGGCCACAGATTTGCGGGTCTTGTCTTTTTCTTGCAGGACCCTGTATGTTATAGTACTAATTTAGTTTTAATCGTTTAATCACCACCACAGCTTCTTGTCTCCATTGGTAACATGCACGATATGTGTCGATTGCAAGTGACGTCGCAGGTAGCGAAGAGTGCAAGTGGTGATTGCAAGTGACATTGTAATTTAGTTTTTTTTTTCTTGTCTTCACCACCTGGCTACTGTTGTAAAATGTTGAGTGATTCAAACAAAAAGTAATCAATAAATAGAACAAAATAAAAAAATAAAAGACTGCAAGTGACATTGCTAGCGGAAGCGCAAGTGTCTGAGAATGCAAGTCTGAGAGTGCAAGTACAAGGCTGCAGCCAGACCCTTCTCCCATTTTCTCCTCAGTCGCATGAAAGCCGTTGAGGAGATTGGTAGGTGTAAAATCTCTCTCCGGTCTAACAGAAATAAAATGTTGTCAGAGACGATTTTATTTCTCTTTAAGGTCAAAATTGTTCTTTTAAAAGTATTTTATTTCATATTTGAGTCATAAGAGATATAGAGTTGACGGATAATTGATGTTTTATACCGAACTCACTGTTGAGTGCATTAGGAGCACATGGTATACGTTGTGTTTCTGTCTCTGTGTTTTCTCGTTGCTTATTTTCACATGTATATTTATTTTTGACAGTTATGAGACCGAATGAGTTGTATTTCATGTCTGGTGTCATTTCATATATTCCAGGTATGACATGTTAGTTTAGTTTATTGTCCTTTCGGAAATTCTTTTTGTATCTGTGGCAACTCTTCAGTGATCAACAACAATAATTAACAATAGAAACATCAACAGGTTACAACACATCACAAATAAATACAACCAGCATCCCGCTCACAACAACAGAATCACTGCCATAGATGTACATTGACAACTGTGATATCACAAAAATTTATTTAACAGAGCTATACTGGATGATATAAAAGATCTTTGTGCACGGGCAGTCCGTAATAATGGTACCCTGTACATTCGACCAGATGGTAATAACTCATATTCACCACAAAGAGGATGAGATACATCGTGAAGAATTGTATGGCTTTTCCTCACAGCTCGAGAGTTTTATCAGGCTATGGTGTTGTTTACCTGCAATCTTACTAGCCATGTTAACAATTGTATTTCGTTTTTTCTTATTTACTACAGACAGTGAGAAATACCAAGCAACAAAGCTGAAAGTCAAGATACTCTCCACAAATGAATGATAGAATAGGGCCAACATATATGTATCCACACCAAACTGTCGAAGCTTACGCATGAAATACAATCGCTGCAGCCCTTTCTTGTAAACAGCTGCTGTATTTACATTCCATGTCAGTTTTTATCAATGATTGTCCCTAGATATTTATATTCATTTACAAATTCAATGCTCTCACCAT